ACAAAAGATCAAAACTAAAATGTAGTAAATTCAAAATGTGTCCATATTCTATATAAAGAAAATGTAAATTTCTGTAGTGAAGATTCAAATATATTTACTACATCATATTTAAAGTAAACTAAAAACACAAAAGAGCCTTTTCCTTTATAATCCGTCATTTCTGAGGTCTGAAATTCGTGGTTTCCAGAAATGTGAACAGAGTGAGACATCATCACAGCATCCTCATCACTGCGAGGGTCCACTTGGTACTCGCGGGAGCGGAGACCCCGCCCCAGGCTGCGTCATTACAGTGTTAGATAATAAACAGGAAGTGTACTTATATGTCCACAAACAGCTGAAGCAGAATGACAGGAAACAGCTGTACCTGTGTGCGAGGACCAGGTGTGGACCCGGGAACCTGCTGTCCATCTACACCAAGCGTGCGAGACCAAAGCATGAAGGTCACGATGGACCTCTCCCATCCCAGCAATGACTCTGAAGCGTCTGTGCTCCCTTAAGACCAAAACAGAGAGAATGAGGAGGAGCTTCTTTACTTTTGTTCTCTGTGTGTTTGTGCATTTTTATGGATTTATGAGCTTCTGTTCTTGTTATTTTTGTTACATGCGAGTTGGTTCTCATTAGTTCCCTTTTGTGTTCTTGGCCAGTGATTAAGTTGTAATTTTGAGTTTAAGTCCCGCCTCCCGAGTCCTGTATTTGGGTCCACATCCTGCCTTTCACACTGCTGATCCACAACGTTCAGTGATTAAACTACAACAGGATGCAACAAAAACTCCTTATGAAACAAATTTGAAACTGCAGAATTAACTGAGTTTACAAACTTACTCATTGAGTAGGAGGTGATCAGTTTGTATGAGAGCCATCACTGCAGTGTTAAATTAGAAAAAAACTCTGTAAAGTAAAATATTTACACCAGAAGAGATAAAAATACAAATTCTTTTAACTGGACACTGAAATAGGTCAACATTGAGACTGTAAAACAAACTCTATAGAGCAGAAAAACTTCAATTTTGAAAACAGTGACATCTGTAACATTTTTCACTTACAAACGAGTTACTAAGAGAACCTGATAACGACTGTGTGTTGACTGTTCTTCCCACTCTATGCAAGGCCACCTGGGTTGGCTGGTAGACTGTTTACTTGTCTCAGTTGAACTATGGACACGCACACGCACACACTTACATCAGAGGTGTGGACTCGAGTCACATGACTTGGACTTGTGACCTGGGACTTGAATTGGACTTGAACCGCACTCCGTACGTATGTGTGGGTGAGCTGTAGCACAGCCAATCAAATTAACCAGATTTTTTTAAGAAGAAAAAAAAAAACGCTCAAAAATGCTGAGTTATTTTTTTCAGGTACATAAACTATGAAGTAGTCAACAAAAAACCGAAACGCAACATGCAAAACATGCAAGCAGAGAATCACAGATAGAGATGGAACAACTTCCAACTTTGTCCGACAGTTGAAGTTGCATAAAGAACGGTAGGTGGTGCTTCTCTTTTGCTACGATGAGATAGCTGACTTCATCTAACTTTGTGATGTCAACTAACTTTAATGTGTATGATATTTTTGTCATGCTATTTTAAAGCCAGCCCTACAAGCGCATCCAAGAATAACATGCAGCTTATCTCAGAACTGTCGGTGAAAATTATTTTTGGAGCGAAGTTTAATTGAGCTGCATTTTATAGAGGTGCAATTTCACAATTTGTGTGTATTTTCTAAGTTCACTATTTTGTCATGTGTTGAGAAAAACAGAGATTTAAGAATCACATGGTCTCGAAAGGACTTCAAAGTTTCAGACTTGTGACTTTACTCGGACTTTTAAACCAGTGACTTGAGACTTGACTCTGACTTGAGGATAAAGACTTAAGACTTGCAAAACAATGACTTGGTCCCACCTGTGACTTACACTGATAGGCACTCACACATCCCCCCTCCCCTTCCAATGCCTTCGATGCTTGTTGCCTCCTGGGAACACGAGGCGGGTCTGGGCCCGCGCTGGAGAGTCGGCGCAGTGGCAGGATGGCTGCTGTGTTGCCTGGGATTAATCCTCACCCCCTACCCAACCCTGTTGTTGGTCACGTGCTCCATAATGTTGTACTGTGGACTTTTATGTGCTTTCTGTGCAGAGGAGTTTTTTGTTTCCTGTTCTCTCATGCTGTCCTCCTAAAGCCCAGCATGAGTAGAGGTCTCTTTTTTTCCTCTTGTACTTTCCCATTGTAGTGTATATTTCAGTGTTTTTCTGTAATGCAACCGTTCTCTGACTTGTATCCCCATGTGATGTCTGTGTCGTGTGTGTAAGGTCGGGGGGCGGGTTCATTCCACTGCAGGGCAACCTGCCACTGCATGTGGCGAATAAAAGTTGACCTTGAACTTAAGAGTAGCTGGTTTGTTCACTTCTGCATTTCTGAAAATAAACTGAGAGAATTCACAAGTTAATTTCTGATGTAAGAAGCAATTTTCTGCTAAATGAAATTGACGTCAGCATGTTGTGGATGTGCGAGAAGAGACTGCATTCAGCTGATCCTGCTGATTTATATACCAGTATAATATAATAGTATAATAATATAATAAGTATAATTATAACCTCTTATTCTAGAAATCAAAAAGAAATCAAACATTTTCTACTCCTAAAATCTTCGCTAGTTTTCCCCAAAGCATAGTTCATTTTAATCCTTTAACTTAAACCTGAAAATAACAATTTCTGCCTCAGTTTTACAATATCTAAATTATCAAAAAAAACCAAACGTCAGAAAATGATCCTGAAACCCATTTCAAATTAAACCTTAAATCCCCCTTTTGTGACACATCTCATGTGTCACAAACTCAAAATGCTTCACCCGATCTTAGGAAATTAAAAGAAAAGGTTAGTCATATCATTTCTCCAAACACCTCAGCAATCCTCCTCTCAGGTATATCTGCTCCGGCCCTGCAAACCTGTGTTTAAGGAATGAAATCAATTTAATCATCATGTCAAATCTTTTCAAACTCCTGGCTCCATCAACAGCCTGCATCCTTGGAACTTCCTAGAAACAAAACCTGTATGTTAACCTCAACTTCACATTTCATACTCAGTTTTCCCCACTTATGATCCAATCTGTGTTATAAAAAAAGAAAACTTAAAACAGAACAGTTATCAGTCATGTGTTTCTTCAGTTCATGGTAACATGAGTTATATCAAAAATGTTTCCCCTTTAGCATTCGGCATTATACCAACAATATAATGTAATACCATAATCTAACCCCAGTCAATAAAACAGAAATTTTCTCAAAGCAAACATCAGCAACCCAAAATCAGCATCCCCAGAGTTAAGTCTTCCACTTCTCCTGCTCATGGAAAAAGCAAAACAAAGCAAAGCAAAGTATCCCCTTTCTCTTTCTGGCATGGTAAATTGTTTGTCCACAATCTTAGTCCGGTCACACCCATTCACTCACACGCATTCACACCAGGTATTGCTGATAGTGGAGACTCCCGCGCAAATAATCAGATTCTCCCCTCTCAGCAACATGAGCTCATTCATTTGTTTTACTTGTTTTCTAAGAAAATAGTTCTTTATGCTTTTGGACTGGATTGGCTCGCAGCAATCCTTTTAGACAGGGACTCCCAATCTGATCAGGTCCCCACAGGTAGCCTTCTCCTCCGCCCATTGTAATCTGGAAAAGGTCACCTTATGTTTGTTCTCCTGGAAATTTTTACAGCGCTGTCAATTTCATCTTGCAGGCCTGCTTAGAACAAAAATGAGAAAAAAGAGAGCTGATTATTAGCTCATCAAAGCACAAAACAAAATCACCTGACAGGTTTTCTCTAAGTGCACTGTTACAAAAATAATGGGCCCCTCTTAGACATGTCCATGTTCAATAAAACTCCCTTTATTAAAATAAGAAAACAACACAAACCTAACCGACAGAAGCAACCCATCACTACAACAACAACCTCAAAAATCTTACACACAGAACATTTTGCTTATTAATCTATCCATATGTTGTTGGGATTAGAACTTCAGGGTCACAAAAGTTTTGCCCTACTTTGGCTTAACTAATACTCACATAGTCTGAAATCAGACCTTAAATCACTCCATCTGTTCATTTTCCCCACATCATATTTCAGTTGCCTCAGGTTCTTCAGCATCCTGAGACTCTGAGGTCAACTGACCTAATTTCACCTGCTCAATACACAGAAAATCTTGTTAAAAACCACACAACTTGCACACCATCATCACTGAATTCTAAGTTTCTTTTCTAAAAACTACTACACACTAAGCGATTTGGACAAGATGATAAACAGACTCATATGCTCAACATGCTGACTAATCTTCATGAGCTCTCTTGTATTCTAAGTTTAATACATTTTCTATTTGTGTGTGTGATTGTGTGTATGTTTCTTTTTGTGGTGTTTCAGACTCCTTCACAATTTTCCACTTAAACAGTCAGTTTTCTCTTTCCCAAATTTGCTAACCCATTTTTGATTCCCCTCCTTAAATAACAGCATTCCTTGTCCTCAGCCAGAAGTTAGGGCCCACTTGTCAGGTTTATGGAGAGATGGTGCTGTGAATAGTTCAACCAGAAAGAGAGGGAGTGTTTTCTCTCTTTGGCTCATCACTGGTCATTGTTAATGACATTTCCCCCTCCACCTCAGCCCAG